ATCTCTCTTCCCACGAAACAAAAAAAGACGATGATGTTTGTAATTCTATTATGACTATGGGGCCTAGTGCAAGTTGAAAGGTTGAAGGTTAATGATCCCTCCAGAGCAACGAACTCGCTTAATTGCATAGGAAGGGAAGGATGGTGGAAGGAAGGGATAGGAATTGATAGGAATTGAGACTATTTCTTAATTCTCATCATATCTGCAGCTTTGCAACTACTTGTACTCAAATTTGATAGTCTTGAAAAACATTTGAATTCCCTCCATATAGTATTACTTTAAATGATACATTAACACGAAGAGCCAATGAGTGCAGATATTTTACCTACTAAGGAATGAAGTTCTTTAAAAGTGCAAGGGAGTTTGTTTCATAGTTTGCATTTCCTGTTTACTCAGATAATTTTGAAAGCGAGCCACCTTAGGGCTGTCTAATAAAATCAAAGAGATCTACCGCTCCTAATGCAACTATCTGCAAGGATCTGTGAACACTTTTAGCCGGAAAAGCGGGACAAATTCGGTAAGAGTCCATAGATTATGTATCTCCTGACGAGAAAGTGAAAACATAAACACATTTTACTCGCAGATTTTTGCAGGAAATGTGTAAAATTTCTCGGCATATCAGAGAATGAAATCGGAAACTTTTGGCAACAGTCTCCTTGGGCGTGAGAAATGTAACGCAGATATTAGACTACTCGTATCTGCAATAATCTGCGCATGACATAATCTTCGGGCTTAAAGATGCAAACGAGACGTGGCCTGGTTTCTGGCCCTTTATATCCTTTGAAAAACAAAGGACCAGCGGCAAACAGGACATCCTACTTAAGAGCAGCGAGCTGGTATTCAATTGTAAAAAAGGCAAACAAAAAGTCCTTAAGTTATGTTGGCTGGCAAATGTTGAGCGAGAGAAACAAAGAGGCTCCTCTTTGCGAGTACCACAAAAGGTCCTCAAAATCAGACTCAATACTAAGGTACTGCCACTTATGCAAGGTCCAACTAATGCACAAAGAAAAATGTACAGAAAACTCGTTTAAAATGCAATAAAATAATGAAAGGCACAATCGAAATATAGTTAAAAAATGTGATCAAAAATCGTTTTACTTTTTTGTATCAGCAATTAAATATTGTAGCTAAATAAATTGCTAATCCCTAACAAACATGTGTATAAATTTCTCTTTGTGCAGGACATAACAATCAAAACTGAATTGGAAATGGAAGCAGCGACTTCATCACTTGTTTCCTCTGGCTCTCCTGTTGCATAAATAATCTCGGGGGCATTCAACAGCCTGAAATCGGATAACTTGGCGGAGAAGACTCGGAATATCGCATCGGATATCGAGTTGTAGTTGTGGCCCAAATCGTGGAGGTGTGTCCCATTGTTCTGGCCGCGTTTCCGTGGCAGCCACGAATATGAAACCTATCTTGAAGATTTGATTTTGCACGTGCAGGTCTGGGAACCTCCCCAAGGCACTCCAAGGACCCGAATCTGGCTGTCAAATCCCGACAAAAGTTGCTCAACTTTCTGCCGGCATGTCCTCCCGACTTGCGCAATTTTTCCAAAGATATTCGAGCACTTTAATTTCATGTTTGGGATTGTTCGCCTGATTTCTCAAGATCAGATTGCTTATCTGTGTCCCCGTTCCCCTGATTCAATTTGTCCGCCTGATCCCGCCGTGTAATTATTGCGCTTTTCCTAGGCTGTTTGTCCTCTTTAGGGTCTAATAGTCCACTTCCTGCCCTTTAGGCCTCTTGGCGTTCCATTTGCACTTCAGTTTGACGTGATTTTCGAGTCGCTTCCTGTGGATCTCGTCCCCGAGAAAGGATATTCGAAGTTATCTCCTTCACTCCCCTGTCTGTTTGCACTTTTCAGTTTGGGTTTGACAGGCTTTTTGCTTTTATGAACTTTGCTGTCTCGCTCCGGCGGAAGTTGTCCACAAAGGTTTTCGTTTCCGCAGTTTCTGGGTGCATTTGCATATTATGAGCGCCAAAAGACTACTGATTCTTTGTCTTCTTGGCGCCAAATCGGATAATTGATGGTTGTCTCAAATGGATTTGGTTACAGTTTGGGAAAGACTTAAGCCCGCCAAATATGTAGATTTGCTTTTTCTTTCCAATTTCTGAAATGTTATAGAATGTCTGATTTTACATAAGTGCGATTCGTGGATTTGTAACTCTTTAGAGATTAGTATTGTGGTCTAGACTTCAGAGGTTTGAATGCGGGTGTGTTGGGGACTTCATGAAAATGAAGCCCAATTCCGAGGTAAAGCAAACTAAACCTTCAGTATGATCACATTCAAGTATATTTTACAAGAATGTTCCTACGTATTTGTGAAAACATGTGTTCTGAACTGCAATATTTCTGCTGCACCAGATAGCGACAAGCAATAAAACTGAAACAAAACACTCATCTAATGACATTTCGGGTCTTTCCCATCAAAAGTCTGGCGCGATTCATAATGACCAATGCGCAGGGTCAGAGGTAAAATACCTGGGGAAATAACAAGGGAAATAGGGTCGGTCTCGGTCTTCCCTCAAAGAGTTTGCTCAATGCTCAATGAATTCGGACCGGCGGCGGCAACTTTTGGGCCATAAAAGCGAAGAGCGGGAAATTTCCACCTCCAGCATGCAAATGAAGTGAATTTCCCAGCTATTTAACCCTTTCAATTCGCTCGAACCTCGCATTGCCATTAGCTGTGTGGCGTCTTAACCCTTTCTTCCAAGCCGTCGAGCAATTCATAAAAACGCAGCGAAAGTGGCATAAAAATCGAAGCCAACCCGAACAGTAGCTACCTGCATTCTTCGAAGACAAAAAGGTGCTAACTCGTCATTAAGACGAATAATCGCTACCTAAACCAAAGCCCCATAAAAATCCTTTCGCTTTTCGTCCTCAAAGAACTTTGTTAAAAAAAAGTCGCAAAAATTCTGGGAATTTTTTTATTCACTTTTATTCATCGGCGACCTTGAATGGCCGTTGGGTAGGCAGTGGGTGGTTACCTGGCATAGGGACGCGATATATAGACTGCTATATTCGGACCTGCCGCTGACTGCTGTTTCAATTCTTGTGGTGGATTTAGCGTTAATCCCCCGGATTAGCGACTCGCCGGCGTCCCGAGTTCATTAAGCAAGGGAGCTGATAGTTGGTCTCAATGAAAGGAAAGGGGAAATTACTGCACACTCAAACTTCCTAAAGTCGTATATTCCGTAACTACGACTTGATGAATGACAAATTGCTTTATTGCCACAATCAAGACAGGTTGTATCTAAGAACCCGATAAATTCATAAGCTGTATTGAATATTTTAGCAATACAAAGTTTAAACACTTGGCTTGCAGTAGCCTACAGTTTCCAAAACTATATACATTAACTATTACGAATTATTGTTCGTTGTAGTAAGTGCAATGACTAAATTCGTTTGGCTTGGAACTTAATAAATATAAAAATTATTTAGAACGTGGGAAGATCCGACAGATGCAGCCTCCTCATCTGCATACTCATGAGTTCCCACAATTATAATTACTCCAAACTCGTTGAACGGTCAAGGGAATGCCAAAAATTGATATGTCATCGTCATCTGGTTTAGTAGAGCATCCTCCCCCTTGGAAGTCCAGCTAATGATCGGAATAGCAGCACACGCAAGCGAATTCCCATGCAGCACACCTGAGTTCCAATTAAACACCCCCTACAGGGCAGCATCATCCAGGGGTTGACTAGTCCAATTAGAACCCCTGCCGAAGCCAGCAACCCCTGGCGACTGTTGATATCATGTCAAGCATTTTATTGATCAAGTTACGCATCCGTAATACGAATCGAAATATAATTGCTCTTTTCAAGTGTATATCGTATATCAAAATGAATTGCATTTGCATCTCCGCCCTTCTACAATCGAGTCCGTTCGAGCAGAGAGCTGTTCCCACGTTCGAGGTCCTGGATCAGGATCACATGGCCTTAGGCGTTGGTGCGTAATCGCACCAGACTTACAGGATCTTGCTTAACATTATTAAGTACTCGTCCGTTGCTGGGACCTCGTACAATGTCTTTCTTATGAATTGCTGATCCCGAAGACAGAAAAGCTTGATCTAGCACCATCCCGACCAGCGTGCCTTTTCCAGGCAGTCGCACTCCCGCGATCTAAAGTCCGTAATCTGCTTAAGCGGCGAGCTTAAGTCGAGGAATCGGTGGGTCCTTTGGGACTTGGCAGGACCAAGAGAGATTAGAGGCACTGGCCACTTGAACCCTGTAGGCTCTCAAAAGGCAACGCCTAATCTGGCTTAGCCGAGGGAGCTACTATCCCAAATGGCTAGCCCCAATTTCAATACGTGACCTTTTCAACGAATCTAGTATACCCTTTTACTCTACGAGGAACGGGTATAAGAACTCGAATGACGGCCGCATCAAGCTGGACAACTTTTCGGCCCCCCTGCGTATCAATATAGCCGACCATCGCCGGCAGACCCCGAGTTCCAGCGGAGCTATCGGAGCTCCCCTAGTCGGTGGCTCCCAATGTCTGGGCGGTTACGAAAAAGGTGGTGGCGGAGGGAAGCCCGCAGCAGCAGCAACCATCAAATGTCCAACAGCAGCCCCACCCAAAGCACCACGTCCATCAACTACAACCGCACCACTCGAGGTGGCTTCAATAGCCGTGGTGGTAGGGGTGATCGCGGTGGCGATCCCGGCCATGGGAACGGAAATGGCAATCGCTACCAAGGAGGAGCTCCACGTCATTTCGATGACCGCGAGGATCATCAATCGTCCAGCAGTGGAGGATTCCAACGCAATCGCAACTTCAACTTCAATCGGTAAGAAATGGAATGCCAATCAAGTATTCATTCAAATTCATTTTCCAGCTCCATGAACAGCGTGGCGGAGGAGGTGCTATAGGGGGCTCAAAATATTTTTGAACATTTATTGATAAGAGCAGTGTCTGAGCTGTGGACTGATAATTTCATATTTTTTTTAATTGTTTTTCTTATTAAAAGGTATAGGAATATATGTAGAGCACATATTTATGGTCGTATAGTCTGCTTGATCCAGCTTTCCAAGTAAATAACATTTGTGTAGAAATCAGTTATGTTGGGTATGCAAATCAAACCAAAGGTAGCTATGCCCCCAACGACCCAAACGCCCTCTTGGAATGCCATCAGTGGTCCTCCGGAGCTCCAAATGCAGCCATCGACCTCCTTCGGACCAATGGCGCACAAATGGGATTCTTGCAGTGTATTCCAAGGGGGGATTTCGGAACGACAGCTGTCCAAATCCACGCCGGTGGCTTCAAATTTCAGCTGGACGAGGCTACCAATCTGAGTCTGGTTCGCTACCCATGCTGCCCCGGTAAACTCCTGGTGGGATTTCCAATGTTGCACACCCACAGTCGAGGGCAAGCAAACAGGTCGAATGTTTGGCGTATAGGCGACCTCCCTCTGTAAGCGGATCAGACCAATGTCATACTCTGAAAAGCCGCGTGTGTAGTTTTCATGTATGTGGATATCCTCGACCTCAACTCGCTGCATTCCATTGCATTCCAAGCTTCCATTGCGGCAATCCTCTGCGGCAATAGTGCCGTGCTCTCCCAATATCACAGAGACTCTGAGAAGATAATAGTTAATAATAAAACCATAGTAACAGATATAAGGCTGCTTACAGGTTTCCGAAAGATTTCGACAGGCATCGAGCTGCTGTTAGAACATATCGGTGATTGATCAGTGATCCCGTGCAGAAATTGATCACAATCTTTCTCTTTGGAATATGGTACTCTAATACCACCAACCAGGGGAATTGCGTGTGCACAGATGCACCACCACAGATGGACCGATCGGGAAGCAAACTAGAATCTTCGCGAGGGATTTGGTCAGGCGTCCTGTTGTAGTCCTTATCCGAAGTGCAGCAGGCGAAGATGGTCTCGTTGCTCTGGTCTGATTCGCAACGTGAGTTTCGAATAAACTCTATCTCGGACTGTGTAAGATTACTCTTCACCAACACCGAATGCAGGGGCAAGCACAATTTAATGGGCACACACCGTCCTTCTGTCTGGTTGGGATTCCAACAAGTCTTGTCTGCGAGCAACCACAAATATAAAAAGCAATTTCAATATTATTTGCGTGTTTATTCCTCTTTATAAAAAACCCAATGTTCGGAGGAATTTTCACTTTGTGCACTTACACCGTGAAATGGCCTGGTTATAGTTAATCAAAATACACAACAAAACCGCTGCGATCACCTTCATTGCGATTTCGACTGAACTCCGCAAAGCTCGACTACGATCTGATCGATGAACACGAAAAATTTGGATGAGTCGGATTTTAATAAAGATAAGAGGTTCAGCGAGAGGTTCAGATTGCTGGGCCCATAGATTTGTTATTGACAGAATAGACCGTTGGAAACCAAAGTAAAACAAGAACAAAAGTTTTAATGGCAATAGAAATTTTAAAAAGTGCCACGCCCAGGCAGTCTTTCCCGGTTTGTGGGCGTTAGAGTGGCTATTGCATCATTTAACAAAACTTGCGCTGACTGACTTGAGAGACCGTCAGACGGACATGACCAGATTGACCCGGCTATTGATCCTGATTAAGAATATATATAATTTATAAAGTCGGAAACGTTTCCTTCTGCCTGTTACATACTTTTCAACGTATCTAGTATACCCTTTTATTCTACGAGTAACGGGTATATAAAAGTAACGATTATATAAAAGAAGCATTGTTTCGTGTTCTTAAAATAATTTTGTTTACTAAACATTTGGACCAAATGCATACACTCTTTGAAAAAAGTATTGTAAGTAACGTTCTTTACAATTAAAACTGAACTCCACAATACTTTTTCAAACGTCTTTTTTGATAGAATCTGGAAGTGATAGGTATTTTTTAAATGCATATAATTTATATAGAAAATACTTTGGTTAAACATTAGATATTCCGATAATTGCCTTCTATGGTAGAACTGAAATATATAATGTAGTTCCTAAAATGGATTATAATTTATTATAAATTTTTTGTTTAGTAGATAGTGAATACATCGTATAAAAAATGTATGCTGAAATCATATATGGGAGTTTCGAAAATTGGAAAAACTCAATATTGATCTTAATGTTCAATTTGATATCTATCAAAGTCTTTGAATTTATCATTCCCCTAAACATTCATATGGTTGCATCATAAAAACCTAATTACTGAATGGAATGCGCGGTATTCAACCCCTGCTGCAATCGCCACTCGAAAAGGACTCGCCTCGGAGGACTAGAAGCGAACCCACAGGTACTTCACACAAATCACAAAGCGGCAATAATGGCAGCGCCATAAAATACTCGGCCATGGATATGGAAGGATATCTCTTCATTAACAACTGTCGCAGGACTGCTGATGATTCTCTGCTGCGAGAGAGGGTAGCAGAAGGACGAGGACTTCGCGAGAGAGCAGGTAGCGAGTCCTGCGGAAAAGGGCCATAAAAACCTAAGGAGTTGAGAATGAGAATGAACGACGGCTGCTGCGTTCCCTGCTCAATGAATTTTTCGCAATGGCAGCCTGCCGCAGGATCGAAGGATTCTCGTGTGGAGAGCGAGAGAGGATTTGCGAGAGAGGGCATTAGAAGCAACCCTCGGCCGAGTTTCGACCAATGAACGCGGAGTTTGGCTACCTAAGGGTGATCGACTGCTCGATGAATGGATTTGGCCGGCAGGACTATTAAAACGCCGTCGGTCCTCACAGCAGACAACACAACCCATCGTGATCTCAGCGAGTCCACATCGTAGCAACCAAGGATATATCGAATATATCACTACCCGCTATACCACAAATCCATCCAAATCCATTTTGTCCATCAAAACAAAAATCCAAAACGTCTCAAGGACACTCCTGCTTAGTGCCAAGTGCCAAGTGAAGTTCAATTTGTGCAAACGTTTCTACAAAAATCGCCAAAATTACGCCCCACATCGGTATGCAGTCGTCGGAGGGTTCACCAGACATGATGGATCAGAAATACAACAGCGTGCGCCTTTCGCCAGCGGCATCGAGTAAGTAAACATAGCTAGCAAATTAGATACGAATACAAATAGAGAAGAAAGCAAACTTTCTAATTTATTAAACTATGACAATCCTTTACTTATGAAAACTTTTCCCTTTTCTTGATGTTCCAGGTCGCATTCTATACCATGTGCCCTGCAAAGTCTGCAGAGATCACAGCTCTGGCAAACACTACGGCATCTACGCCTGTGATGGCTGCGCCGGATTCTTCAAGAGAAGCATCCGGAGATCCCGGCAATATGTGTGCAAGTCCCAGAAGCAGGGACTCTGTGTGGTGGACAAGACGCACAGGAACCAGTGCAGGGCTTGCCGGCTGAGGAAGTGCTTCGAGGTTGGAATGAACAAGGATGCAGTGCAGCACGAACGGGGGCCCAGGAACTCCACTCTGCGCCGACACATGGCCATGTACAAGGATGCCATGATGGGTGCCGGCGAGATGCCCCAAATACCCGCCGAAATCCTAATGAACACGGCCGCCCTCACCGGCTTTCCTGGAGTACCCATGCCCATGCCTGGCCTGCCCCAGAGGGCTGGTCATCATCCTGGTCACATGGCTGGCTTCCAGCCGCCACCATCGGCTGCCGCTGTCTTGGATTTGTCCGTGCCACGAGTGCCCCACCATCCGGTGCATCAGGGTCACCACGGCTTCTTCTCGCCCACCGCCGCCTACATGAATGCCCTGGCCACTCGGGCACTGCCCCCCACTCCTCCTCTGATGGCAGCCGAGCACATCAAGGAAACCGCGGCGGAACACCTCTTCAAGAACGTCAATTGGATCAAGAGCGTGAGGGCCTTCACCGAACTACCCATGCCGGACCAGCTGCTCCTGCTGGAGGAGTCCTGGAAGGAGTTCTTCATCCTGGCTATGGCCCAGTACCTCATGCCCATGAATTTCGCCCAGCTGCTGTTCGTTTACGAGTCCGAGAATGCCAACCGGGAGATCATGGGCATGGTGACCCGCGAAGTGCACGCCTTCCAGGAAGTGCTGAACCAACTGTGTCATCTGAACATTGACAGCACCGAGTACGAGTGCCTGAGGGCCATTTCCCTCTTCCGGAAGTCACCGCCGTCGGCCAGTTCTACAGAGGATTTGGCGAACAGCTCGATCCTGACCGGAAGCGGCAGCCCGAACTCTTCGGCCTCTGCGGAATCCAAGGGTCTCCTGGAGTCGGGAAAAGTGGCGGCCATGCACAACGATGCCCGGAGTGCGCTGCACAACTACATCCAGAGGACCCATCCCGCGCAGCCCATGCGATTCCAGACCCTCTTGGGCGTGGTGCAGATGATGCACAAGGTCTCCAGCTTCACCATCGAGGAGCTGTTCTTCCGGAAGACCATTGGTGACATCACCATTGTCCGACTCATCTCCGACATGTACAGTCAGCGCAAGATCTAAACAGTACAAGTATATAGAGGAGAACCTAGACTAATCGCCGCACTCGAAGTGCCTTCCAAGTGCTGGGAACTGTGATAATCTCGGAAGAAGCGCTTTGGACAATACTCGATCAGTGAAATCAACGATTTCACATATCCAGGAGTCGAGCCTTAAAATACAACACATACAACACTCACCTTAATACCTTAGCTTACCAGAACTTGAAGTAATCTTAGCTAAAGTCTCTCAGACCATCCACACGTGTTTCAAATTGCATTCGCAAAAGTTTAAACTTTGCCTGTTAAATACGCCAATCGTAGCTTAGTTATAAACACTTTAGTTTTAAGCGCATACAATTAGCTTTAGCTTTGGAAAAAACTTATTCAAAATAAACCTAAAGGTTTTCGAAATGAACATTAAATGGTATTATTTGGTGGATATATAATTTGGATGGATATTTTAACTTCGATTTGGATTATCACAAGTAAAAATTTGTTTCTTTAATGCTTACCCTAAAAGATATGATTTATTGATCAAAGGGAAAAGAAAACAGCGTATTTTTTATTCATAGATAAAGCATACATTCTTTAAAATAAGTTAATTGGTTGCAAAGAAATTAAATGTTTAATAGTTTAACCTCCCAAATTATAATTTTAAAGAAAATGTAAATAAGCTGAAATCTTAATCAACTTTCTGATGTGTTAGCAGTGTTATGCCAAACATGGAGTCATGAGATTACACACGGAATTATCATACTTTTTATGGCCATTTCGTGAGGATTTTCGCATCTTCAGAAACGACAAAAGCCACCGCACAGCGCAACTCAGTTAATCACAAATGAATAATGCAAATACTGGAACAATGAAACATTAGATCGCAGAAGGAAACGCGTAAAAATTAGCATAGTTTTTCTGCATGAGCAGACCAAAGTCGGCATTAATTTGGGAACCTGAGGGACGCAGTGCAATGGCCGCCCCAGTTTTGATATCCTTTCGCTCCCGCCCTGAAATTCGAAAAGTTAAAAAGCAAAATTCACTTTTGTGACTTTGTCGAGCGGCGTTGGATTGTTGGATTGCTGGCAGGACCGGGCACGGGGTCCGGGGATCTGGGATCGGGGATCGGGGATCGCTCTGCCGGAAGGACAATTGAATCCTTTCACAATGGCCAACCAACGTGCAGCCGGAGGTAAATGAGTTTTCGCCGGCGAAGGCTGAACAAACAGTTGCCAAATTGTTCGAATTGCGTTGGCCAAAGTAAACAGAGATGAGTGTATTCCACTGACACACATCCATGGCAATAGCGATGAGGATGTGCAGAAACCTACCCTAACGGAGAGTCCAGAGCCCAAGCCCGATTCCAATCCAAGCACGGCACCCAGAACATCCTGCGGGGATTGGGATTGGGAATTAAGCATGCTTCGTTGGTGCTGCCATTTCGACTTTCGCCAAAGGACCCTGTGTCCTGGGTGCCCGCTCGGTTCACTCGGATGCTGTTGAGCGCGGGGTAACAAATTGTGATATTTCTATTTCCCTGCGCTGTTGAGCCCTTTTAAGTCCTAATGGCCCTTTATTATCTGCCTTTAGACTTTTAATAGACTCAGGCACCAGTACACAGCAACGCAGAAACGCAGAGAGCAGCACCCGAGAGTCCTTTCGGTGTATGTGTGTGTGTGTGTGCGTGTGTGCGTGTGTGTGTTGGCCTAATCCTCATCATTCTGTCATCAGTGACGTTTTTCTGCACATTGTTGTTTGGCCATTGTTTGGGTCTTAATTTGCAGTTTTCTCTTGTCGTTTTTGCACTCTCGCCGGCTAGCAAAGGATTTTCACATTTTTTTCACTTTTTGATTTTTATAATGTCTCTTAAGGACGGAGACCATCTTTAAGACGACTTGAACGTCGGGTGTGATACTAACATCGGGCTTACTTTATAGGATTAAAATCTGCGAGAAACTATATCAACTGCGAAAAATGTTACTAAAATTATATTTTTATATATTTAACAAATAAAATATTGTTTTTGAATAGAGTACTGTTAACAATTACTTATTAACCTAGCCAAGACGGAAATACCCAGACTTATATGAAGTCAGCACTTTTCTTTCAATAGTCCTTAGTCTTGAAATTAATCTCAGTTTGCGAACGCTCTCCCCTTAGATTAGACTCCATTTAATCTATTTGGAACTGGAAGGCGGCTTGGACTAGGACTTGGACTATCTACGCGGACTAACTTGTGCCTCACTTGAACTGCATTAAATCCGCGAGCTTTACCTGCCGAAAGGGGGTGGGAACTGGCTCATCTGGAAGGAAACTCAAGTGGCTGGCGATCCGAAAATTCTGGGGAAATTCGGAACAAGTAAGCAGGAATCTGTGGGATTTTGTATAACGCGTTTAATTCATAGATTTTCGTTGATTAAGTAATCCCCGCAAAGGGCTCAATGAAGGCGACCGTCGGCCGATTAGCGCAGTTCGCGTAAGTGGCTTGTACCGAGTTTGTACCCGAAGGCAGGTGTGGGTTAACAGGTTACGGGTTTCGCAAGCTTAACCCATACAGGACCTCTCTCGCTCCCACCTTGAACTCGAGGCTCTCCTCCTGTCTGTGATCCTTATCCAGGCGCAATTACCTAGCGAAACAAAAATATGAGTATGCAAATAGATTTTAATGGCCAGGATTACCCTTTTGCTAAATACCAAAATCCTGGCCGGGCGGTCTGCTCACCGCAGCTCCTTTGTTTTCAAATGTAATGAGAATGTCTCTAAGCCAAAATATTAAACATCCGTTTGAGCCTGGCCAGCACATACCCATACATCGCCAATGTATATACATACTCGTACACTGCAAATCCGGCTTCCGATTGTCCGAGTTGTTTGTACCTGAAGTCAGGACTTCTCTCTCTCTATCTCGTCCTGCGGCAAGCAAAAGTCAAAGCGGCGTTGTTCTTGTAAATTGAGTAGCTCGATTTATCGCCAGATCAATTTTCTATATCTGCCGCCCAGATAAGCGGGTATATAATTGTTACTGTGGCTTATGCGCTGCCGACTAAGCCTGGTTTTGGTCCTGGTTTTCGCTTCGCTTCTTGCTCTGAGCCTTACTTAGTTCCTTAAGTTCTGCTTAACTTACTTTAGTGGGCAAATGGCAAATTTGAGGCGGAAAATTCTACGAAGTTCTTTGTATTTGCATACACATCCGTGGCGGCATTGTCTTTGACGCTTAGTCGCATAATTTGCCAGACAAAACGGTCAGCGGAGTAGAGGGCCAATGCACTGAGGAAAACAGTTGATTTTTAGTTACAAATTGTGCTTTGATATGTATTTGCAAATGGTGTGTTATTTTTCTACTCTTCATGGCATTAAGGTAAAGGTAATTAATACCATTACATGTACATTTTGTACACCCTTTTGTTACATAAACGACTAGCACATAAACGACTATAACGACAGCGATTTATACTCAGAATTGCGCGACTTTTAGACCTCATTAGACACAGCACTTCCAGCACACCAGCTGGTTTTTTATAAGGCTGTCCTAGATCATCACCACTGATCAATGGCATCCAAGGCGATTAGGATGAGCACATCGCGTTGCAGGATCATTGAAGCGTGGCATCATCGAAAGTACTTTTTGCACTGGTCCCGCCATTGTACGAGTATCTGCCCCTTTTTTATGCCCCTAAGTACTTGATGCCCAAGTCTAAGACCCTGAAAATCTGTGCACATCCTTTTGATTGTTGCCATCTGAGTGCGGGACAATAGTCGTGGTTTTGCGACGAGTGGACCTCCTGGAGGTGAGAAAAATATTAAGGGCAAATCCGCTGAGCCGCCGATCTGGCGATCCGGCGAACAATGTCCTCGAAGAATCTTGAGAGCAACTTGCGTTTAACCTCAAGAAAGTAGCAATTGCCCGCATTATTTCGATGATCGACGAGTCCTTTGAACGAGGGATGCAGTTCGCTGGAAACTCCGTTGGCAGCAAAAATATATATTGACAGACTAACAAGTGTTATACGATCTGCGACAGTTTTTTCCGAAGCAAGGGGCCTCGGTTCAAGGACGTGCAATCAAAAGCTGGACCACCGCGACTGCAACATCTTGTGTGTTCCCCCGACGATTTCAAATTGAATAGGGGCTCGTCCGCTGAGAAACTTTTGCTGCGGATGGAATAAATGGAGGATCTGTCTCACGTATATTTTTTGATCGGGATCGGAAGTGGTGGAAGCTGCATCTGCAGCCATCTGATGGAGATGTGCCTCCGGGCGTAATCTTTGCGCAGCCTGGTAATTGAATTTGTTGCCTTTTCATTTGATGTTTTCTTTGCATAACAAAGCGGACCGCCGTTGGCCTCCGGGCCTGGACAAAACGATTGCGTAGATAGTTTTCGATGGGGTTGTACGTGTATCTTTCCGGGAAAAATGGCGACCAACTGGCATTTAAGGGCGTTGCACATCATTTAATTAAGCCGTCGCACGAAGCGAAGCTCTCCCACTTCCATTTTCCTGGTTTTGGAAAAGTTCGGAACTTTTCAACTTCCGGTCAAGAAAGCAGGTGGCCGGTCATCAGGTGCATCCCCGAATGAAGCCATTACTACGACGGGGTCACGCGATGTCCAACGGCCATCCATCCAACAATCCTGGGAACTGGGCAACTCTTCGGGTTCGGAGTTGACCAGCAGCGGTGAAAAGTGAAAAGCCGTCGCGTCATCCTCGTCGATGGGAGGCCATATGTCATCGTAACGAGAACCGATCAACCCTGAGCTACTGAACTAACAATAGCTGTAGGGATGCACCGCGAATAAAATAGTAAAATATTAATCTTTAAATTAGGTAAAAGTAGCTTAAAAAATCGTTACATTTCTCTCCACTCCTTGCTCGTTGTGTTCTTCAAAAGCACCCCTCCAAAATGCCAGGTTCGTCTCTCAGTGTAACAACCCTGCCCTCGCATTCCGCAACAGTTCGATGAGAGCTCGGCAAATATTGAAACAGCTCCCATAAAGGATCTGGCTCGAAGGGGAAGAAGGGAGTGAAGGGAAAGGACTCGCCACTTGAGAAATGTAACAAATCGACTTTGACAAAGCTTCGACCTCAACCTCAAAAACTCAACCTCGACCTGGGAAATCGCGAAGTCGCCAAACACAAACTGTCGCTTTCGGTTTCTCGATTCGGGTTGAGTTGTCGGTGGTTCTGGGCACTTTGAAAGTTGTGAAGTGGCCACTTAACACTCGAAATCGGGAACGAGCTTGCTACACGTCACTCACACCATCACCTCATTAGAGTTTTCTGCGCTCCCAGGATACAAGGATATGTGCGCAGGATGTGCGGAGCGCCTAAAACAAAAGGGGTAGTTAGCGATTTGAATTTGCCAGCGAAACGCTACAAAAATGCAAGTTCAGTAGTTCGAAACTGAAATCGGGATATTGGCA